TCCCCCTTCTCATGTGCTCTCTCTCATTCTCTCTCTCTCAAATAAATAAATAAAATCTTTAAAAAAAAAAAAAGGAACTGAGTAAAAGCCTACTTAGAACAAAATAAATTACCCTTTGATATCTAGTGTAGCAACCTAGTATTTGAGAAAAACAGAACTTCACAAAAGCTTAATATATTCAGAATTTGACAAAGTGTGACCCATTTACTGAAGCAGAAAATGCACCACAGGTTTTTCAGTGTTTCTTTTTTTCTTTCAAAAGCAGATAAATCATATTTATCAGCAAAATAAAAGAACTGCTTCTAGACTTACTTATTTAGGACAAAATTGGGAAAGAAATAGAGGGGGGAAAAAACAAGAATTTTGTCTCAGGAAAATACTCTGCAAATAAAATGTGGTAGGTTTTAAAGATTTCATAGGAATATCAGAGTGGAGAGATAATTAATGAATTTATGTAAAAAGATACTAATAGTTATTGTAGATTCCTTCTAGCCCTTCAGATACCGTGAGGATATTGAACAGTTCATAGAAGCCACATGTCCATGTTAGCCATTTTTCATAGGAAATTTCTGAGATTTTTGTCAGGATTTTAAATATATTGGAAAAAGGATATGAAACCTTTACTCTGACTTACGTATTCTCCTAAATATTCATCTCAGTGATAGCACTTTTCACATTTTTCCACAGGTACCAGTTTAATTGTCTTTCCTCTGCATGCACCAGTTTAATTGTCAATTCCTTGAAAATGGGGAGTTCCGTCTTACACACCCTCACATAGCCAGTCCCTGGTACTGCATTTAACACAAAACAGCTGTATCAACAAATGTTTGTTGACTGTAAGATTGAGGAAATAAAAATGGGAGTCCATGGACATTTTGTCATAAAAAAGAGTATATATTAACACGTAGATTGAGATATTTTTATATTAATCAAGCATTTAAAATAGACAAATATGACCATTGATTATGTTTAAATATTTCTCCTTACAAAAAGAACTTACATAAAAGAAAATTCATTTCATTTATATCATTATATATTAACAATTTTATGAAATACTGAAAAAGCATGTAATTGTAATATTTCTTTAACAAGTCCAAGTAGTAAATGTTATGTTGATAAGCTAGGGGAATGACTGAGAGATTTCACTTCTCAACCTTATTTTTAGATTTCTTGGACCATTTAGATTTTTTTTTTTTTTAGATTGATACTTTAAGCCAAAGTCAGAAGTGGGACTACAACTGAGTTCTCTAACAATGTGGATAAATTTTAAATGATACAGAAGGATTAAAAAAGTCTTTAAAAAAAAAAAAGTCTTTTAAATGCAGTTCCTTTATTCATTACAATTACTCCCAGTGGCCTGATGGAACAGCTCATATGTGGCTAGAATGAGTTGAGTCCACAGTGCTGTAGATGAAATTAGAAAAAAAAAAAATTGGAAATCCCTTTTGGGACCCTAGAAAAGCATTTCCAGTCTAAAGCCACAGGGCAGAAATGATCAATAATGGTGGCCATTTGACTCATTCATTTCTTTTAATGAACACACTCACAACTCACTAAAAGCATTCTTATAGGACTGGGATGGATTTCAGTTCTCTGGTGACTGACAGAAATAGAGCCTTTGATAAAACCTAGAGGGAGTAGCACTGCTCCCCACCATTCTTTCCTCCCCTTCATCTTCACAACGTGGTCCTGTTTCACTCAGGAAAATATGTCATCTTGGTACAGACTGACAAGCAGTTGATCGGCAGCTATTAGTAAAATTCTCCCCATGATTCTTAATGCAGCTTATTTTAGGAAAGAATCCCAAAACTGTGGATGCATTTCAAATATGTAAAGTCTCAGGAATAAAGGCCTCAAGAAAAAATGGGCACTGAGCTGGTTTAATCATTTTATTAATATTCAGTAGGATCATTTCCATTTCTGTAGTCACTGCCCTAGTTCAAGTAAGCATTAATTGGTATCTAATAAAGTGCCATTAATACTGAGGAT